GTTTAAGATGGAAGATGTGAGCATGGGAATGTGGGTGGAACGGTTTAATAGCTCAAAGCAAGTTGAGTATGTGCACAGCTTGAAGTTCTGTCAATTTGGATGCATTGATGATTATTATACTGCACATTACCAGTCTCCGAGACAGATGATCTGCTTGTGGGATAAATTACAACTGAAGGAAAAACCTCGCTGCTGCAACATGAGATGATGAGTCTCAGTCTCTCCTGATGAGATTTTAATGGTTAGACCCTGAGGATTTGCACAGAGAGAAGTGAGAGAAGGCTTTGCGGCTATAGCCTGTACATACGTGAGTAGATTTTGACTGTCAAAATGGAGCTGCTATCATAATCCTCCTAATCCATTGCTTATTCACTTTCTTTTTTGGGGCCTTGTCTCATCAGTTCTGATGTCTTTGAGATCTTATGTCAGTTGGACATTGAACTCGATGAGAATAGTTTTTGCAATTTCAGGTCCTGTAATGTAGACTAAAATGATACAGTTTATATGAGTAAAATCAACGAGCGAGTAGTTCCTGCATATATCAGAATCCAATCTTTGAGGTAGGAGCACATGCTTTTGCGCTTGCTCTTGTCTAATCTACTGCATAGCCTGTGCTAATTATTATTGCGGTCCAAGCTGTTGGTGGGATTGGCTAGGCATCCATTGGAAGGTCTTTTGTTGTTAGAGATCTTGCTCCAGGCGGTCAAATAGGCTTAGGGTTCATCATAATGTCGATGAACTCGGAACCCTTACAGCTTGATGGACACAATAGAAAAAACGTCGTCCTAAGTCCTAACTAAACTAAAAGGTGCCTTTATGCTATACTATACCGAACAGCACAGACATGGAAAACTTTAGCATCAACCTCCGGGGCCTAGCTAAAGCTAATGCAGTGGGTATCCCAATCCTTCCAGAAGCTGTGGGCGGAAAGCAGAATATATATATATATATATATATATATATATATATATATATATATATTCACTTGCTCTTTCACGTCCGGAGCTTTCCATGGAATTTGAGATAAAAGAAGAACATTCACAACCAAAGTGATCCTCTGTTGGTGGAGGACCAGAGTTGCTCAAAAGCTGGGTGGGAACTTATTCCGTTAGAATTCCCCATTTCTAGTCTTTAAATACTTGTATGATCGATTCCTCAGAACCCTACAAGCTCAACTTTCCAAGCTGTATCACATAGTACCCTACATTGGGATTGGGTGGTCGAGCTTTAGTAAGGGGATTAACACTACATTCCAGACTCTGGCGTGTTGCATTGCGGTTGGAATTAACACGGGGGATGCTGTTCTCTCGACCGTTGATCTAATTTGTTCATCATTGAACTAAGATGAAAACAGAATAATAATTACTGGTTTACTGATTTCAATTGCGTTCAGGCACTAAAAGCTTCTGGAGCACAAAAGGGAGACAGTGGGAAGGAAAAGGGTTCGCAATAAACATCTATCAACTAAGAATTATTGGTCGTAGTATTTTCGATTCGCATCGAGGCACAATATGAACTTTCTCTTGAAGAAATCTCGACAAGAAAACATGTACCAATTACATAAAGTGCTCAAGTCGATCATTCGTACTCCGCTGCATCATCACTCGAGCTTAAGCAGCGGAAAGTATGGCAAACCATGCCAAAGAATACACCAATGCAATCCCTGCAGCAAATAACGAAAAGGTTCGGAACTTATAATCAACTCACCAAGATTACATGCTAAATGACAGAAATTTGAAGCAAATGAGACGGAGAGAATTTTAGGGGTACCTGTCTGCCACGGATAAAACCTTAAACCATTGCTCCAAGCAGCCCCATAAAAACAATCAGTTGATGTGTTGAATCCGCTAGGACAGTTGCAGACGTAAGAATTGTAAGGTCCACCGTATCCACAGACTCCATTGCTCTTTTCACAATTAGCACACATTGCTGGATAATCATTATTTAAATTGAACTTGTAGTTCAGAGCTACCCCATATTTCCAAGCATCCGGATTAGATTCTTGGCCATTGAATCCATACAAGCCAGAATACGCTGTGCACTGCAATTTCTGCAAATCCATCTCAAAAGACGGCCCAAGATCCACAGGTGTATAAACACAACAAGTAGAAACTGGGATGTTTAGTCTACTTATGGCTTGACAAGAATACAGAACGCTGCAGACACTTGCACCCTGAGGATCACACAGTGGAAAAGTAGTCGAGTTGCTTGCACGAATGGATTTGTATATTGGAGAAGCAGAAGTTGAGCAATCAAGAAGAGCAAAAACCACGTCGTCGCGAAAGCTGAAGGGAGCATTCCAATCCAGGCTGAAGCCTTTACTTGGTTGTGAACAAGAGCAAGTTGACATGGAGGGATCAGTGATGTACAAAACTTGGTTGTTGTAGTCAATGGATGTTACGGGGTAGCAGCCTGTGTGAGTCGAGAAAGTGAGTTGTTGCTGATTGCAAGTTACATAAGATTGGAAACGGGGATCACCACATCCAGGACCTGTGCCAAATGGATATTTGATTGGTATACTGCCACAGGTTTTCTGGCAAGCTTGTCCCAAGGCTGGCTGGACATATACGATCAGCATAGTGAATATTATGATAGAATTAACAGAAATTTTGTTGATCTTCATGTTGATCAATTGATTGGCTAGGAAATATGACAGAAATAACCAGATAGGCAGACACACACACAAGACGACAGAGGCTTAAAGGAGGGGAGAAAGGAGGGGGTATATGCTGATTGTGGCGGAACACTAAATATAAGGATGTGCAGCCAGTGCTTTAAGTTGAAGTTTTTTATGTGCTTTTTTATTGCACGGAGATTGGTTCTTGGTAACTCTGGCAATAGTAACTAATTAGCTTTAGCCCTTGTGAACATTAAACTATTGATGCCCTGATTTTATGTCTCGGCTGTAAGATTTCTAGCTCCAAAAGTAGAATATTAGAAATAAAAAGCATACTGAGCTGACTTGCGGAAGCCTCCTAATCTTCATTCAACCGCATGCTGATGCTGCTGTAATTGAATAATTAGTTGAGGGCAATTAAGGGCCGTACCATGATTGATTTATAGGATTTTGATCTGCTATTCTATAATCGCTTTTCCTTTCCTCTCATATATGGGATGAAAAAGATATCAAAATAATAACTGCGTATGTGGAGAAATTTGCGCTTTTCTGTTTGGAATCTATGCTTAGAAGTTGGCTTATTAGTAGTGCTATGTATATTGGACTATTGAGCATGTGCAGTAAAGCAGGATCGGATGCATAAACCGCCGTGCATGCCTTCCGGATCTCGTTCTCCATTTCTTTACACTGGGAAAAATCCCAATGTAAGGCATATGCATGCACGGCTGGAAAAAATTCAAGAAAGTGAGTACCATAAGATAACCAAAATAGCCTTGAGGTCTAGGTCAAAGGATCAAATCCTTTAGTTTACATTCCAATATCCAAGATTTCCTTAATGTATGGGGTGTGGACCGAAATTCATCCCTAATATTTCAATAAAAACACATTTCATCCCTAAAGCATCAAATTTGGACAAATTTAGGACAGTTGATCTTTAATTAGAAAATTTGGTCGGGAGTTAAAAGATGTGGCTCACATGCGCCATTAGAGCAATAGAGAAGAGATGCAAGTGTTCAATTAAGTATCCGGCCGGCCTTAGGAGTACAAATGAATTGAACCGCTCGCAAGCTGCTCGAGTCAAAACTCGACTCGAAATCAATCAATATTGAACTCGAGTCGAGCTCGAGTTGGCTAAATTGAACTTGAGTTTGACTCAAGCTCAAAATATCAAACTCGTTAATTTGCGAGTCGGCTCACAAACTCGAGTGTATATATATTTTTTATTTTAATAGTAAAATTATAAATATATCCCTAATTTTTAATTATTTATTTAAAAAATATTATTTGATTCATTTTTAAAAAATAAATTTTTTATTTATTATTTTTTTCGAACTCGAACTCGAGTTCGAGCTTTAGATTCGCAACTCGTCGAGTTCGAGCTTAATAAAACTATGTCAAGAGTCAACTTGTTTGCAGTCCTATTCGATCTAATACAGTAACAGCGCGTGTGGGCTACCATTTTCACTCCTAACCAAAATTTTTAATTAAAGATCAATTGACATAAATTGATACAAATTTGATGTTGTAGGGATGAAATGTGTTTTTATTGAAATATTAGGGATGAATTTTGGTCCACACCGCATACATTATGGATAAATATGTATTTTTCCAAGCTTCAAAGCTGCAGAAAAATCAAAAACTTTCCTATTTATCAAGATGCAAATAAATCTAGGCTACGAAGCATGGGGCCGGGCATCTGAAATCTACACCCTTCAAGTATCTATTATCCTTAGAACTAGGGGTACGAGTCGAGCCGAGCTTTGACCCAATCGAGTTGAGTTTCTAGTTAATTTTGTGAAACTCGAATTTGAATTCGAGCTCGAACTCGACGAGCTCAAAATGTCGAGCTCGAGCTCGAACTTAAAAAATAAATAATAATAATAATAAATTTATTTTTAAAAATTAAAAAATAATTATTTATTTTAAAAAATAAATAAAATAATAATTTTTTAACAAATAATAAAATATTAGGAATATATGTGTAATTTTACTTTTAAAATAAAAAATAAAAAATAGATATATAATTGAGCTCGCGAGCCAACGAACTTAATGTTTTTAAGCTCGAACTCGAGCTCGAGTTCGACTTAATTAGAGCTCGATATTGACCGAGTTTGAGTCGAGCTCGTATGCGAGCGGCTTGATTCATGAACATCCCTACTTAGAACTATTATTTCAGTTTCTACCCAAAAATAAAAAAAAAAATAGGGGGTTCCAAATCATCAATTTAATTTCATCGCGGTACGCAGTTGGATCATATGCGTTCTCTGTTGAAATGGACTAAGGCCCAAAGGGAGTTTAAACTGAATGTCTAAGTGGCCCAGCAACAGTAACTTGGACTTACATTCCACATGCCCAAGAATCAAACGCACCCAAAAAGCCTTCTCCTATGCTCCTTAGTCCTTGCTCCGTGCTTCAACCTTCATCTCCATTACCACGGGTGAGGTTCTGAGTTCATCATCTTCATACCAAACATTTGTTAATTTTCTTTTCCCCATTTTCCATTAATTTATTAGGGCACTCATCATTTCCAGTTTTGGCTGTTGATATTTCTTTCCTCTCTGGAATGTGTAAAAGGTTTATGCCATTAGCTTTAACTCATGTTACGTGAACCACAGCAGTTACCATATCCATTTTATCGCTTTAGTCTGCTTCTTCTTTGAAAATTTAGTATCTTGGCAACCTGTTCTAGTTGTGACGTTTTATGTTTTAATGAGAACACGGTAACATCTGTAACTGCTTGGTTGCTGTTTGATGAAATGCCTCAAAGAATTCTAAATTTCAGTTGAATTGCAGTTTATCGTTGCTTTGTAAATTTTTTTACTCGTAAAATATTTGACCTGCCTAAATCATTTCTTGAAATTTCAGGAACTAGAACGGACATAACTTTGGATTAGTGCTAGTTGTTACTGAAATGTATTTTTGTATGATTAGTCCCAAAAAGAAAAACATAGAAAGGGGAAAATACGTGAAAATGTGTTTGATGAAGTAAAATTACCCGGTACATAGTGTTCTTGCAAGCCGCACTTATTGATAAAAAGATAATAATAACTGGCCCAAGTTTTAGTTTTAATAGTATTAAGTCGGAACATCTTATTGTATGTGAACGGATGCTGGTTTTCTTAAGCAACAAACTTCTAGAATAAGTAATAGTGAACATGTAGGCAGAGCAAAATTTTGAATGGCCACTGAGTCAATGGTGAGGAAGTAAGGGATGCCTTTTTATACTGGGTTTGGGGCTACATAGCCAAAGTTTGCTTGTCGATACAAACTTTATACATTTAGTGACACAACTATCCACTTTGCTCGTTAGCCATATTAGACTTTAGTCAAACTAAATACATCAAGAAGTATCAGAACCTGATCACCAACTGGTCAAATTCATAATATGGTTGTATTTGTAAGCAAAAAGAAAAAATTAATGTTGATAAAATTCTCACTGTAATTTATCATAAGAGCGTGAAGAGATCATCGACATGTACATATATGTCTGGCTGTTGTTCTGGCAGAAAATTTTGAGCATCCGGATATATAAATCATTTTGTGCTTGAGCAAACTTGTTTAGAACCTTGTGTAATACTCTTCCAGGTGATGCAGTGATGAAGGGACTCATCTGCCTGGGTTTTTTCTAGATGGAGATTGGTGTATGCTGGGCATCTGTCTTGATGGAATTCTATTATAGATATGAATAAGTATTCCATCTTCCTGTCAGCTCATCGTTGTCAGGTCTTCTCATTTCATTTACACTTCGGTTCTGCAAAAAGCAGCTGCTCGTTCATCTTTTATGTTAATAGATTTTTTATCCGAAAGTTGTCTGCTTTTCGCTCCAGTACTGCAAGACCATTCCCTGACTATTGTCCAAAGAAACCTTCTATTAAAGACAGCAAGCTCATTCATCAAATCTCCATGACTCTTAAGCAGCGCCGATCTGAACAGCTTCGCCGTACTCTGAGACCCTTTGAATCCAAATTCAGGCCTGATCATCTCATTTGGGTTCTCATGAATGTAAAGAATGATTATAGATTAGTTTTGGACTTCTTTGATTGGTCTTGCTTGCGGAGAGACCCATCATTGGAAGCTCATTGCATTGTTATTCAGATTGCTGTTGCTGCAAAAGATTCTGCAATGGCTCACAGACTTATGCATGATTATTGGACAAACCCCAACCTAGATGTTGATCTCTCTTTTCCACGATTCCTTGAAAAATTAATATACACATATAAGGATTGGGGTTCTAGTCCTCATGTTTTTGATATTTTTTTTCAAGTGCTTGTTGAAGTTGGGATTTTGGACAATGCAAGAAAGCTTTTTGATAAAATGTTATATTATGGGTTGATTTTATCTGTTGATTCATGTAATTTGTATCTATCCCATCTATCGAATAGTAATCACGGGATACAAAAGGTACTAAGGACTTATGGTGAATTATCTGGACTGGGTGTTTGCTGGAACACTGCTTCATATAATATGGTGATCCGTTGTCTCTGTCAATTAAATAAAGTGAAAGAAGCTCACGGTTTACTTTTGCAAATGGAGTTTAGGGGTTGTATACCTGATGTTATAAGCTATAGTACTGTAATTGATGGCTATTCTAAAGCTGGGGAACTTAAAATTGTTTTAAAGATTATTGAAGCAATGCAGGTAAAAGGGTTGAAGCCAAATGTGTTCACCTTCAATAGCATCATCCTAATTCTGTGTAAGGCTGGTAAAGTACTGGATGCTGAGAGAATATTGAGGGAGATGATTTCCCAGGGGGTTGCTCCAGATAATGTAGTTTATGCTACTCTTATTGATGGTTTCTGTAAAGCTGGAAATATTTCTGCTGCATATAGATTGTTTGATGAAATGCAAATTCAGAAACTTATTCCTGATTATGTGGTATATACATCTCTCATCTATGGTCTTTGTCAGAGTGGAAAAGTTGTTGAAGCGAATAAGCTCTTCCAGGAAATGCTTAGAAGAGGATCGGAAGCAGATGAGGTCACTTATACAACACTTATTGATGGATATTGCAAAGCTGGTGAAATTAAATTTGCATTTTCTCTACACAACCAAATGGTGCAACAGGGACTGATACCAAACGTTGTTACTTATACTGCACTTGCTGATGGGCTTTGTAAACAAGGTGAATTAGATGCAGCAAATGAGCTGCTTCATGAGATGCGTCAAAAAGGTCTGGAACTGAATATTGTCACCTATAACTCACTGGTCAATGGTTTTTGTAAATCTGGAAATATAGTGCAAGCAGTTAGTTTAATGCAAGATATGGAGGTCTCTGGAATTCGGCCTGATACATATACTTACACCACATTGATGGATGCATACTGTAAATCTGGAGAGTTGATCAGGGCTCATGAGCTTCTGCATGAGATGTTGAGTAAAGGACTTCAACCAACTGTTGTTACATTTAATGTACTGATAAATGGATTTTGTATGTCTGGGTTGCTAGAAGATGGTGAAAAGTTGCTACAGTGGATGTTAGAGAAAGGTGTAATGCCAAATGCAGCCACATATAATTCTCTCATGAAGCAATACAGCATTAGGAAAAATATGCGTGCAACGACTCACATTTACCGGAGAATGTGTGATCAAGGAATTGAGCCAGATGGAAATACCTATAATATATTAATACGAGGGCATTGCAAGGCAAGGAACATGAAAGAGGCATGGTTTTTGCATCGACAAATGGTTGAAAAGGGTCTTAGCCTTGCAGTTGATGCATATATAAGTCTCATCAAAGGCTTTATCAAGAAGAAGAAATATTTGGAAGCAAGGCAACTTTTTGAAGACATGAGAATGGAAGGGCTGCATGGAGATCAAGAATTATATGGCATCTTTCTAGATATAAGGTACAAGGAAGGAGATATTAATTCAACGCTTGAGCTTTGTGATGAATCAATAGAACATTGCCTTCTGAATAAGAGCAGTGGTGGAGTTACATGATTTTAGTTGCAATGCTGGAAACATTCATGAAGCTAAACTTTTGGCTGCCATCTCATGTCATCCAAGAAAATGCCTATCCTCCATATGACGGTATGGGTTTTTTTATTGTTGTTTGTAGAGGGCAAAAAAAAACCTTTGGAGATTTTGCATCCTTTATGGATCCTGCAAATAGTGCCTTCTCGTCTAATAGCCATTGGGAGTTTGCATGTTTTGAATGTGTATATAGCCGTGATTTAGTTAACTGCTTATGCAGCTGTGTTTGTAAACTTGCTCGACTGCATCTCTATATCATATATGGACAAAGACTTGCAATTACAGTTTGTTTTCCTTTTGATATGAAATCTGGTTCCTTTTCCATTTGATCGGTCTTCTTTTTCTAAGTGACTTACTTTGCATAATGATAAAATTAGCATTCCATGGCAAGATGCTTCTGAAATTTTGCTGACGAACTCTGATGTCATTTTCTCAGGGGTTGGCCAAGAATAGCGGCTGAAGGTTGGCGATATCTACTGGAAATTGAGTATGAAATTTTACTCAACGTGTCCCTTAAAAGAATCTGATGCTTCCAAGTGCCCTATAAAGGCAGACAATTTAAGAGACACAGGGATCTAAAATGTCATTCAAAGGTCTTGACCACTGAATTTTGGTTAACCCTTTTTGCGGCTAAAGGTTTGTCTTGCAATTGGGGTTTGATTATGAACTTTTTCCTTCATTGTCAATCTTACCAATTATAGACAACAGTAAATGAAAAAATTGCACACATTCTATTGTTTAAAATATGCGGAAACGCAAGCAGTTTAAAACTTGTGATGATATCAGGTGTGATGCAAAAGTAGTTATCCCAGCTTGGAGTTTTAAATTGGTGATGAGGGAATTAAATCGAGAACATGCAAAGGAATCTTTTTTCCCTCTTTTGCCACCATGAATGGACAGTGGCCAATGTTGCAATATTGCTACGCCCCTTTACATAACGTAATTTCTTTTATTAACCTTGCAGGAAGTGAGCGCATGCAGAAGGAAGAGCTAGCAACTCTGCGGATGGAAATTCTGTCGCGCAAAGATATATTTATTTCTTTTCACACGTTGTATGTTGCTGTCCTCAGTGTTAGAAGTTTATGGCGCACAAGGCAGTCCTGTTCTTCGAGTACATAGAGAGCTTGACTTGGACGCTCTTCGAGTTTTTGTACAACAGTTTTTTTTTTTTTTGGTGGTTTCAACATTTGTAGATAGGCATTTTTTTGGGCAGAAAAATGGTCGGGCAAGATCTCCTGCATGTATGTATCTGTTATCACTTTTAATAAATCTTGTCAAAAGTTTTATATAGATAAAATGATAGCCTTTCTTTAAAGTCTCTCTTGTGTTCAAGTTTTCAACATCAAACAAACAATTATCGGAATATCCTTCTCTGCAATGGAAGTTATATAACAAAGGGTATAATTTACCTCCCTGTGATTTGGTGTTTTACTACATAATTAGAATTTTACTCGTGCCTTAGCACGGTCTTTTTTTATTTATTGTGAATTTATACAAATAAGAATAATTTAAATATAAAAATTAACAACAGTTCTACATGCTCATTCATATTAATTTAAAAAAATTATGTATTTTAAATGTTCAATTATTTACTAATTTTTAAAAATTTATTTACATTCTTTCACTATAATATGATAATATACATCAAATAATGTACCACATATCCAAAATTTGGTAGATATTCTCGTTAAAATGTTCTTTTTGCTACTTGACAACTCGCAATGGAAGTTATGTAACAAAGGGTATAATTTATCTTCTGTGATTTGGTGTTTTACTACATAATTCCCTTGTAATCTAAAAACTAATATATAACCCTCTCATGATTTGGATTAAAGTGTCACCAATAGTTTTTTCTGTTAAAACTAACGATTCATAATGAAAAACCAAAGTCAAACTAATAAATTAACAAATTCATCCTTTTACTACTCTTTTCTTTCTCTCTTTTATATGACAAATTCATCTATACTTTGGTTTACAAAATCTTAATTTTCTCCAAATACAAAAGAGATGGAAGGGAAATAAAAATAAATAAATAAGAAACAAAAAGATGGAAGAGAAATATAAAACAAATAAATAAGAAATAAAAAATACCAAATCTTTTTATATTATAAATATCGTTATAGGTTTTTAAACCAAATTAATTTTTAATGGTATTTTCTAGTTCTTATTCATCTATTTTTTTTATTTCAATTTCTTCTTTTTTATGTTTGGAGGAAAATAAAAGAGAAGTAATGAAAGGATAAATTTAACAATTTATTATTTTGATTTTGATCTTTTATTATTAACCTTTAGTTTTAACAAAAAAAAAAAATTAACGGTGACGCTTTAACCAAATCACCAGGGGTTGTGTATAGGACAGGAACAAGAGGTTTTTTCATCCCATGAATATTTAGACCTTCTCACCTTACATGCTAAAATGTTCAAGCCTCTGCAAGAAAAGGTAATTCCAGAATACATTAATCAATGAAGACTAATTAGATGTTGCCAAGTTCTCAAGATTTATCCAAGATATTCGTAATTATGTTACAAGATCAGACCTACAAAAAGCACAAAAAAAGACAGAGAAGGCACCAACTTTGATAGTGGAACAAGAAGATGACTGCATGAAGGAGGAGGAGGAGGACGAGGGGGTACGGCCACCTCTTTTTCCTTGGAGCAAGTGTAATTACAGCGACTTGGTCGAACTACTCTGTATACACCACTCTGAGTAAGGATGAAAACATCATTCCTATTATCCTGTCCAAAAGAGAATACATAACCTAAAGCAGGAAGAGGACTGTTGGGCACCGAGCTGCATGGAAGTGGGGAATCAGCAGCACAAGTGAAAGGAATATCTGTAGTTGAAAAGTTGCCGCTATTCTTGGGGTTTTCTGCAGCTGCCCAAATGTTTTTAGCATACAAATCTCCATACAGGTAACTGCACAGGCATTTTGGAATATCAGTTGACTGCTTTTAATCAGCTTCTATAGAGAAATCTATTAATGGTTTTTTTTTTTTTTTTTTTTTGGCAAAAACTTACCTTCCATACAGGCATGGATCAGTCTTGGAGCGATAAACGTAGCCACCTGATATTGCTGCTGATCCTTCCTTCTTGTTTACGTCAGAGTGACTGTATCCCACCACAGGGAAAATGGGATTAATTGAATCAATTGAAGTATTCCCTCCTGGAGTCTGTTGAGGTTGAAAAGGAATAGGCCCTTCAAAAACGCGCCATCCATAATTTCCTCCCTTTGTGATGATATCCACCTCCTCGTATTGATCCTAGAGAATTTTTTGCGAGCGCAGCATGGTCAGTGATGGGGATAATTGAAATATTCTACCAAAGTGGCTTACATTTACATGAAGTGAAGCAAGAAAGTGTAGAGAAAGAGCGAAAGCAAGACAATGTTTCAAGTTTGAACCTCCCCAGTATCTGCACAAAGGAAATAAGAAGGCCTTTCTACATCAAAGCTGCAGCGCCAAGGATCCCTCAAACCCAGGGCCCAAATTTCTGGCTCCAATTCTTTATCTTCAGAGAATGGATTATCGTGAGGTACAGAATAGTTTCCCCATAGACCAAGATCAACTATTTCTTCCTGACCTATTAACAATCATGCATTCAAAAGAAGAATAAGCAAGTAAAATTGTTTATTCCTTTATAATAAAGATTCATGGAACAAGAAGGAAGTCAATTAAGCTAATCTTTTTTTTTTTTTTTTAGGATTTTTTGTGACCCCATCTTAAACTAAGAAAACCAAAGGAAACTAGTGCGGATAGAGTTAGGAGAAGACTTACTAGGTATGTTATTTACATCAAGCCTGAGAATCTTTCCTAGCAAAGACTTCTTATTTTGGGCGAAATTGTAAGGATCACCCTTACTACCGCCATCTCCCATCATATAGTACAGATATCCATCTTCTGGGCCGAAAAGAATCTGGCCACCATGATTAGATCCAAAAGGTAGTCCCATTGTGAAAATTCTTCTAACTTCAAAAGGATTGGCATTTTTCGCCTGAAAATATATAGAAAACTCAGATAAGCAGGAAGATACTAATAATCATTTTACCCCCATTTCATGGCCTAAAATTGTAGTCCTCCAGAAACAACCTTAAGCGAAAGCCATATTTATGGTCTGTCATCCGAAAGTGAAGATTATTCATACCATTGAGGGGTTTGATGCAGTCCCATTAGCACTGAACTCTGCAACCACAACATAATCCTGGCATGGCTGAGTTCCCTCCGAAGAACCTATCTTTGAAGGATCACAACCAACATCAGAGTTACAGGCACACCTTCCGGTACAATCTGGCGACTTGGTCTTATCACAGTTATATGAGGCAAAAAAACGTCCATTCTGTGAAAAGTTTGGATGAAATGCCATTCCCATCATTCCAAATTTGGTATCAAAGTAAACTTCATCTGTTAAATCAACAAATGGGCTAGATACATCTAGTCCTAAAGCTTCCCCTGAGTCTTGCTCGGGAATTGTAGCCAACCAAACTCTACCAGGTTGATCAGAAAAAAATGCACGGTTAGATCCATCAGGATGTGCTGCCATGTTGAGGTATGATTTTTCACCAACTTTCTCCAGACACATGCCTCTTGGAGGAAGCAATGTTTCGGTTTTGTCCAGTGAAACTTGCTTACCACTAAAACAAATTGAATCTTCATTGGAGACGCCACCAAATGCATTACAAAACTCTGTTTTTGATTGCCAGAGATCAGTTAGCTTCGATTCAGTCGAATTCTGCGGCACTTCAGTCTTGGTTTTTAATGAAGGAGCAAAAGGGGAATCCAATATTGATATGTTTTGACAAACATCCCACACATTTGAGCAAAAACTACCATCCGTCTGGCTTTTGGATGATGAGCCTCCATCAGTCGTGGAGTTACAAAGAACAGGAACAGGCCGCGGCCCCAGTTTAACCTCAAATAGATCTGCTGAGAACTGATCACAGGTCTGCAAAGATAATGATCCAAAACTAAGCTTGAAGCAAGCTACCATGATGTAAAACATAGTCCAGCAAATCTAGTTGAATAATCATTTGCTGGCCAACTTTTAACAGCATACTAAGAGTCTAAGATCTGCAAGTCGAACATGTACAACTCGAGGATAATAGAAAAATTGGTTTCAGATGTAGACATGCCAGGGAAAACGTACTTTGTCTCAGTATTTGTCAAGGGGTTGAACAAAAATAACTAACATTCCATCCATGATGACTCGTACTATTCAACATTCATGTACTTTGCGAACTTCAGTTCACCCACAAATGAATGTGAAAGAGTGATAATGCAGATAAAAGAAAATTAGAAAAAGCAAACACTCACTGCACATAAAATGGATTTCACTGCAGATGCACAGGCAGCATCAGTTACGTTCATTGCATCAAAACGCTTCTGTAGTTGCAAATCCTCAGATGAGTCACAGCAGAGACTGCCATTGTATGGGCAAAAAGCCAAAGGCTTTTTTGGAGTGACTGGTGCCCCTGTTTATAATGATATCTCATTTTCAAAACAGAACCATATAAAATAAGCAAATCACAAATATGCAAACAAAGAAAGATAAAGGGAGGCTTACTCAAGTCTGTACACAAGGGGAGTGTGGATGACGGATGAGGTAACGAGAGAAGAAGACAAAAGAATGAGAGCACATGAAGGACATCAGCCATTGGCAGATAAGAAGAGAGGACAAGAACGTGCAACAAAGGGAGCTACCTTATTTTATATCTTCCACCTCAGAAAAGAAGGACTCGCATATGCGCACAAAGCTTATCATTTTCCAGTTTCCACTGAAGAGTCAACACTGCAAATGGGGTTAGAAATGTATCAAAGGCTTCCAGAAGGAGATGACTATTCCAATTTCCTGGGACCATTTTCAGTTGGCGAATGTTTGCTCAGTAAATTTGAACTTGTTACACGCTTGATTGAGTAAAGTACCCTCCAACTAGAAAGCTAAAAAGTTGATAAATGTGAGAAGACTTGAGGCAACCAAGTTGAGCAATAATTCAGGTCCTAATTTGACTTGTCCACCTGCAAATCTCAGTGGAAAGGGCGGTAGTTGAAAAGGATAGGAAAGCAACTTCTTCTTGTGAAAAAAAAAATGACAAAAATATAATACAGGCAAAAGTTGGCTAAAAGTCTTGGACACTAGTACTGGTGATATCTGTACACATTTCTTCTTGTTTTTGTTGCTCATTTGAACATCCAGATTGCAAGGAATCTAAACAAGAAGGGGTGTTGTGTTCTCCACTAGCGTACTGATCTGCGCTTACAGCAAAATTCGAAGATAACGGCTTCTCAGTGGAGAAATTTTAATCTGAAACAAGTGAATCGCTTGAG